AAATGAATGTTTTTTACTTTCATGTTTTGAAAATGAATGTTTTTTACTTTCATGTTACAGAACATGAGTTTATTTACTTTCATGTTTTGAAAATGAATGTAGTTTATTTAAACCTCAACCACAGAATAAGAGTTTACTTTAATGTTTTTTAAATGACATTAGTTTATTAAAACCTCAACTACAGAACAAGATTTTGATTTTTACTTCATGTTACTTTAATGTTTTTAAAATGAATATAGTTTATTAAAACCTGAACTACAGAACAAGATTTTGATTTTTACTTCATGTTACTTTAATGTTTTTAAAATGAATATAGTTTATTAAAACCTGAACTACAGAACAAGATTTTGATTTTTACTTCATGTTACTTTAATGTTTTTAAAATGAATATAGTTTATTAAAACCTGAACTACAGAACAAGATTTTGATTTTTACTTGATGTTACTTTGTAGTTCTATAAAATGAATGTAGTTCACTAAAACCTGAACTACAATACTGAATTTTCAGTGTGCATGTTTTATTAAAACATGAGCTACATTCATTTGATATGTACTGAATAGAGAGTCTGCATGCTTTTATACTACATTACTATGTTCTTAAATTTTCAGTGGCCATGCTTCATTAAAAATACATGTCTACATTTTAATTCTAAGTTCATGTTTTCAGTGAGCATTTTAAAAGACAGTGTTTATGTTAATTACTTCATTACAGCACATTTTTATTAAAATTGAACAGATATTTACATCATGCCTAGAACTAAAAGAGTGAGAACAGAAGCTGGTGAAAGTTCTAACCCTCAACGACGCGAACAACAGCAGCCTCAAAATCAGTCATATCCTACAGATGAATTTCTCAGTGAAAGTCATGAACTAGCCTTTCAAAATTTCTCAAGCCGACCTATTGTAACAGGGAGGAGGGTCAATCTGCCACCTCAATATGATGCACTACTAGTTAGTAAACTTGAATCAATGGGATGGCTAAATTTAATTAATTTACCCCAAAAGGTAGTGAATCACACATTTCCTAAGAATCTTCAATCTTTTATCAAATTAAAATTTGATGACAAATTTGGTAAAAATCACCTCCAATCTACATCAAACTTGTATTAAATCAAACTTTTACATTTCTTTCATCAAATCAAGGCAAAAAAAAGCTTTTTACCAAATTTGTGATTCTCAAACTTTTGGGAATAGGTTTGGAATTTTTAAAAAGATTTGATGATTAAGGGTTTGGCATTTTTAAGAAGTGAGGATTGGAGCATTCAATTTTTTCATCAAATGAAGCATTCAATTAATTAAGGGTCTGGCTCGTGGGATTCATCATGCATGCCATTATTTGTGCATTCGAATAATTGCTTTTGTAAGGATTTATCTTCAATATTCATAATTGGACTGATTGCATGCATTTCAGTATGTATATTCAATGTATTTGTATGTATATTTGTTTTAAATTCAATGCATTTTCATTATTTGTGCATACATTATGTGTGCATTATTCAATGTATTTATGCCATACATTATTTGTGCATTATTTGTGGCATCAATTATTTGTGCCATTCCGTAAATTATTGATGTTGATGCATTGAACATTCAACCTACTTTTCTGCCACATTGAACATTTAACCTACAGTCATTGTACTATATGTGGCAAATCATCTATTGAACCACCTACCATTCAGAAGATCACACCACCTACAATTCATTATATGAACCACCTATCAATTCAACCACCTACCATCCTCTATACCAGCTCATCATTGCCATCACCACATTCACATTTCACATGTTTTCACTGAAGCCCTCTTCCCACACACTCTACATTTTCAAGTATGAATCCACATCATCACGAAAGCAGCATCAGTAGGAACAGAGGAACAAGGCAGGATCATCAAAACAGAACAAAAAGGCAACATTAAAAGAGCAAGGTGATTCACGGGGCAACCGGTTGGTCAACTGGCCCTTTCAATTTTTTTTTTTTTCCCCCTTCCAGTGTGCATGCCACTCAATTGTTCAACTAGTTTACAGAAGACAGGAACATAATTTCACTATATGTTACTTTCATGTTTTCTAAATTAATGTAGTTTATTAAAACCTGCACCACACAATAATTGCATTTTAAGTTTCACTTGATGTTACTTTCTTGTTTTGAAAATGCATGTAATTTATTAAAACCTCAACCACAGAACATGAGTTTATTTACTTTCATGTTTTCAAAATGAATGTTTTTTACTTTCATGTTTTGAAAATTAATCTAGTTTATTTAAACCTCAACCACAGAACAAGAGTTTACTTTAATGTTTTTTAAATGACATTAGTTTATTAAAACCTCAACTACAGAACAAGATTTTGATTTTTTCTTCATGTTACTTTAATGTTTTTAAAATGAATATAGTTTATTAAAACCTGAACTACAGAACAAGATTTTGATTTTTACTTGATGTTACTTTGTAGTTCTATAAAATGAATGTAGTTCACTAAAACCTGAACTACAATACTGAATTTTCAGTGTGCATGTTTTATTAAAACATGAGCTACATTCATTTGATATGTATTGAATAGAGAGTCTGCATGCTTTATACGACATTACTATGTTCTTAAATTTTCAGTGGCCATGCTTCATTAAAAATACATGTCTACATTTTAATTCTAAGTTCATGTTTTCAGTAAGCATTTTAAAAGACAGTGTTTATGTTAATTACTTCATTATAGCACATTTTTATTAAAATTCTACAGATATTTACATCATGCCTAGAACTAAAAGAGTGAGAACAGAAGCTGGTGAAAGTTCTAACCCTCAACGACGCGAACAACAGCAACCTCAAAATCAGTCATATCCTACAGATGAATTTCTCAGTGAAAGTCATGAACTAGCCTTTCAAAATTTCTCAAGCCGACCTATTGTAACAGGGAGGAGGGTCAATCTGTCACCTCAATATGATGCACTACTAGTTAGTAAACTTGAATCAATGGGATGGCTAAATTTAATTAATTTACCCCAAAAGGTATATCCACGGCTAGTATCCCTTTTTTATGTTCACCTAAGAGTTACTCATAAAGAAGATGGAAATTTTACTCTTTTGTCATATGTGAAAGGAAAGGGTGTACAGTTTGATGTTCCTACTTTGGCACGCATTATTGGAGTTGAGGTAGGTGATGAAAATACCTATTTTCAGACTGAGGCTGAGTTAGTTAATATTGTCGGTAATGGTAACTGATGTATATACTACTATATGTCAGAACAGATTTACTGGAACTAGTCTACAAGCAAGACATTTAAAATCTTATCTTCGGATCCTCCACCGGTGGATTGTAGAAAATGTCACTCCGAAAAAAGGACATCATGATGCGGTCCCATATTTTAATGCCTATTTGTTATACTGTTTTGAGGTTGGGCAGAAGTTAGATTTGTCTTATATAATTATGAAAGAAATGGTGCTGGCAAATCAAGAAATGGGCTGGTCATTACTGTTTGAGGCACTCTTGACAAAAATTTTCAAATATTTTAAGGTTCATCTTGCAAATGAAATGGAGATCAAAATCCATTCACCCATTACGCAATATACTGTGAATCGTGCTGGTGCAGCCGCAAATTTAATGGGAAATGATAATGCTACAGAAGATTCAGAGGATGAAGTCCCACCAGATGATGGTCCACAAGATCCTCCTGTCAATGTGATGCCATCAACTGAACAACCTCAATATTGGACTGATTTTTTGGCCATAGAAGAACAACGTTATAATCAACGCGTTGAATGGGAACATCAAATGGCTAATCAGGTCAATTCGTTGGGTACTCAGTTTGAGACATTTGCCACTGCACAGAACTCATTAATTGAACAATTTGGTGAGTTTCGTTTGGACATTGGAAGACGTCATGACGTGGCAAACAATCGCATCGATAGAATTGAGCATCGCGTAAATGACATATACCATCACTACTTCCCTCCTCCACCACAACCAGATAATGATTGCTGATCGGTGTGCCATTATGTGTTTCCATTGTTTTGTCTTGTATTATTTTCACAACCTTTTGTTAGGTAAATTTCTGTTATGAATGTACTGATTTTGTAATATTATGTGATATAAAATGATCTTGCCTTGGTAATACTTTAGCACCATCTTTTCGAGCTTCACTCATACCATAATTTGTAATATGTTATTAATGTTTCTGATTACTTAAATTTGTATGAAAGTTTTTGAAAGGTGTAATGGTAACCAAAGAAAAGAATAAAGGATGTATTTATATGTAAGTAGTTATCTGTAATACTCTATGTACCTGTACAACATATTCTTATTTGAGAAATCAGACAGAGGAGATTCATTGAGATGAAGATAAGACGCAGATTGAATGAAGGGTGAAATTATAAAACCTTGGAATTATAAGCATCTATAACAATATGAAGATGTAGCCCTTGGACTTGATTGCGTAATAGAAAAACAACACCCATTTAGATAGTTGTAGGAAATTGTAGAAGAAAAATAAAAATATGAGCCCCTTATCTGACATATCCATGAAGAAGAATTTCATTCATGATAACTACTTAGCAATTGGTGTGTTTTGTTTTTCCCAATCAATATGGTATCCAAAGAAGCAGTAGAGAATAGAACACAACCATCTCAAGAAACAAAAACTGAGAACAAATTAATTAATTTCTAATTTTACATAAATGGAAAAGGCAAGTGAGACATTTCATATAATTGTACACAGTTTTTCCGTTTCCTTTTCCAATAGATGACACCAATAGATGAAACCAGTAAATACAGAACCTTTCAAGGTAATCTATTAGTTGTTCGAAATAAAATCTGTCGTTGAAGATCTTCGTTGTACGCCCTTTGCATTGGATTTAAATTTGTCATGTCCATTGACATTATTTTATGATCTTCATTTCGTTGTTCTCTTTCATTCATCATAGATAGGAGTTTTAGTTGTTCCTCCCTATCTTCGACCCTTCTTCGACGGTCTGCAGCTTTCTGGTTACGGTCGATCGCCTTTTGTTCATCTCACTCAATAGTTCTAGTGGAAATAGTTGATAACACTTCAACCATTTTGGATTGGTTGGCAGCCATTTCATCAAATCTACTATCGTGGGTTGTTTGATTCTTCAACTTCTCTTTCGCTGCTTTAGTACCAATTGGTCGTGTTAATGGATTAGATGGTTCTTCGTACAGAACATTATTCTGGTTGGATTGAAATGCATCAGATTCTCCAGTTGATGGATTAGAACATGGATAAACATGTTGCGTACTCTTTTTGGATTGTGTTCGAAATTCATCCCACTTACAACTTCGGCGCAAAATATCCCAACATGTATCAAATGTGAAGTGTTTTTTCTGTATTGCATGATACATCCGCTTTGCTTCAGCGACCTACAAAAAAAATTACAACGATTTTAATAACAAATATGCATTTAGAGAAGAAATTTAATATTTAATAACACAAATAAATGTTACCATGTCTGCCTCAGTTGTTCCACTTTGGTGCCTCAGTTGAATTTGTTCAAGAAAACCACATAATTTATTAATTGCCTTTTGCATGGCAGACCAACGGTGAGACAAAGAAATACGGTTTCGATTTGATTCACCACTCAATTGTGAATTAAAATTAACAAGTACTCGTTCCCAAAATATAACCATAGTCTGACTATTACCAGTAATGGGATCTTGAGAGGCTGCTAACCAAGATCTACATAAAGTTTCATCTTCTATAATTGTAAATGCTTTACCACGAGAAACACGAGAAGTTTCTGAAATGAAATGATTATCACTGCTCTGCGTGTTCTGTTCTCGCGAAGTTTCCGACATAAAATTAACATCAGTGTTGTGCTGAAACATTTGTGATTCTTCAAACATTTGAAAATCTTCCAAAACTTCAAAAAAATACAGTACATACAATATGCAAAATAGTAAAAAATATTAGAATGATATACAATCAATACTGAACCTCGGAATTAGATAATTTAGTCAGATAATATAAATTAAAGTTTCAAAGGAGAAAAATCACAGAAGAAACAAAATTCACAACATACAATGTAATGCTCTTCTCAAAATAAAATACTCTGTCATCTTGATATACAAAACTGATATATTTTATAGAACACATTATCAACGGTAAATTTTAAAAATACTCTGTTCATGCAACGATAAATTTATTAAAACGGCTACTTTTTAAAATATGTATATGAGATAACAACAGCAAATTGTTAAAAGACTCTGTCCATCCAACGGTAAATTTACTGAAACAACTAATTTTAAAATATTTATATAAAAAATAACAATTTGAATTATATTTTCAATGAAATTGAAATTTATATCACCCTTCAAATTATTTCAAATTATTCCAAGTCCACAAAATAAGCTATCTAAAAATAAACCTATCTGAAATTCTACCTGTTCAAACCAAACCTGTTGAAAGCAGTTGAAACCTACCATTCCCATGCTTAGACCGGGCGACCGGATGGTCAACCAGCCGGTCGGTTCATCAACAATGCTCAGGCCACGGACCAGTTCAAACCCGTCACAGTCCAAACCCGTCGCATAACCGGTCAACCGGCCGGGCAACCGGCCGGTTGACCGGTGTACCTCTTTCAACGGTCAGTAACAGTGATATGGTAAAATCCATAACTTGTTCTCAATTTGATACTTTTTTTGCTGAATTCTCATTTTGATATTCATTTGGTGCAACGGTTGGAGCATAAAAAAGTGCCTTTTTCATCAAAATTTGAATCTGATGTCAATTTTGGTTCACCGTTGGAGATGGTCTTAATAGAATCCCGTTAAGTAGCTCGAAAAATCGTAGCTCGAGATCATTTTGGTACCTTTTTTTTTTTTCTTTTTCTTTTCTTCTTCCTTCCCCATCTCTTTTTCCTTCCGGTCGGCCAACAGTCTAAAAAAAAGAAGAAGGAAGAAGAGAAAAGAACTCAACTCTTTTGCTCTGCTCAATTGTTGTGTTGTGAACCCACACATTTCATTTCAAAAAGTGAAAAAAAAAATGAAAAAAAAAGAACAGAGAGTAGAGAGAGGAGCACCGACTCTATGTTTTCTCTTTGAAACAGAAAGAAGAAGGAGAAAAGAAGGAGAAGAGGAAGAAGAAAAAAAGAGAGGGGAAACAGAGAGAGAGAGAGATACACAGATCTATGTGTGTATACAGAGATCTGTGTACACACATAAAGGAAGGTCGCAATAGGCGACGGTGACAGTGATGACGACACCGGTGGGTGGAGAGAGTTCTGGCGCTCTCTTCCCCTTTCCTCTTCTCTTTCTTCTCTCTTTCTCCCTCTTTTTTTTCTCACATCTCTTGAGAAAAAAAAAAAAAAATCGAAACCGAAACCGAAACGGCGTCGCTTTGATATTCGGGCACACGAGGCTCCAAAATTCCGAAGCTTTTTTCCTCTTAGTAATAATCATTTTAGTTGCATTTACATATCAAATCATGCGAATTTCTGATTAGAAAGAAATAATAATAATCTCATGCAAGTAGGGAATGTAGGCATGGAATGGGCAAAGGTTCATCAAGAGTGTGCAATGTTTGACACAGCTACTTACTTGGGACGGAAATTTTCACTTCATATTTCATTTTCTTAAATTTCTCAACCTCCCCCCACTTAAATCTGTCAACCCAGTCCCAAAATCAGCAAATTTCTCGTTTATTGTCAATCAAAAAGAAAAAAAAGAAATTTATTGGATTACCGTTGGTCACTGCATATGCTGAAAATCGAAGAAGCCCGTAAATTGTTCGATGAAATGCCAGAACGAAGTGTTGCGCATCTTGAGATGCGGAATTTGCGAAGCCAGTGAATGATTTTGGCAAATGCCTAGGGGAATTTTTCGTTGGTTTCTGGGTACTTGAAGACGTGTGATTTAAAAGAAACCATTCGGGATTTTGAAGGTATGGTGGAGAAAGATGTTTCTTGGAGCTCAATGGTTAATGGGTAGGGATGCTAGAGACCTGTTTGATAGGATGTCTGAGAGAAATGTGATTGATTGTGCTGCAGTGATAAATGGGTGTTTCAATATGCAGAATTTCAAAGATGGGTTTGAATTTTTATTAGAAATGAGACTGGAAGATGAGTGTAAAAATTAATTCTACTACACTGATCATAATACAAGTCATCTTTGTACTGGGTGTTGTTGAATTTCTCTTTTGAACTAATGGGAGACTGCTTGGGCTGATCATGAGTTTTGGCTTAGACCAGAGTTTCTTTGAGGCTGTGATTTCTATAAATTTATACTCTGGACCAGGGGAGTGAAATGAAAAATTAATGGAAAGGTTGCAATACTTTCAGATGGACGATGGCTCAGTAGTTGGCAGTATCAAAGGACTCAAAGATTTCTGTCCTTCACTCTTCTTACTCTCCAGGAAGTAGTAGCAGGCTAGAAGCTTATTCATGTTTTGATGAACTTGGTCTTCAAAGAATTCCTTGGAGGCTTTTTGTCTCTGATCTTTCTTGAATGGAAAATTTAGGTGGGTGAAATGTTGAAAGGGATGGAAATGGGATGAAGGACAATAGACCATAAGCTGTGGGAGGATGATTTGATGCATGTCTGGTCAAATCCCATTCCAAATGTTCTTGTCTTCACACTTCGAGTAAACCTACTACTGAAAACAACACTCGTGCCAAGTGTTTTGACATCTTATTTGACATGTTCTCTTTCTCCTACAGTCAGCTCTGGTGTTAGCAATATTCAACAACTGCCTCGACTATATCATAATTATTGTCAATCACAGCCGGACAAGATCTTGTGGTCCCTTGAACTCTGTGTGTTTTGTAGCACTTAGGTATGTTCTCTGGTTGTACTTTTGTTTTTTTGACTTCATGGCTCAGATTTTGTTACTTACAGAATTATTGAAGAAAATATTTAAACTTAAAAAATGCTTTATGTTCTGAAGTTAACTCTCCTCTATATTTTTTTTTCGTCCGCTAAAAAAAAAAGCATACTTTCTGTTTTTGTTTGTCTTTTATAATTTTATTGGTCAATTGGTCTCCAGTTCCCCTAACAACAATGCAAAAATGGATTTATTCCTATTAAAATGCTTCATGTTTATCTTTCTATCATTATGTGTTTGTACACACATATATACTAGACTAGATTTTGTATTTGTGTTCATTGAATTATATGAGTTGATGTCATATGCTTGTCATGCCCTAAACTACTAGTCAGTACTCTTATGGCATGTTTGATTGGAAGGATTAAAGCATAGGATTGGGATTATTAATCCGTGGGCCCAATCATCCTATGTTTGTTTTGACATTTTAGTTTAGGATTATTAATCCAATGGATAATTAATCCAACAAATTTGTAGGATTATTAGTAATGGGGTAGGGGTGGGATAACTAATACCACACTAATTTAATATGATTATTAATACCTCACTATTAGTGTTGTGAATCAAACATGGCCTTAGAGGTTAGAATAGGGAAGATTAACATTCCTAGTCCATTGCTAATATGTAGTATATTGTTATAAGTACAGTATGAGGTGGAATTGAGTATGCTTTGAGAGTGTTAATATTGTGTTCATGGTCTTTTTCCCATGCATATCCTCCATAGCCAAGCCTGCATGCCAGTTTGGTTCGGCATGGCTCCCATCTCTTAGTTACAAGATTAGTACAAGAATATGTATCATAGTGTTAAATGACTCAAATTGGCTTGTACATGGTACTTCTTAAGTTACAAATTTGAACATTGAATTTATTTGAAACACAAATGTAAACATGACCGGAGAGTCCAGAAGTAAGGTATGCGAATACATTAGAAACCGTGCTGCGAAAAGCCTGATGTGAAAACTATAGACAGATAAAAAAAACAACTTGATCCTGATGGTTATGAAACTTTGCTTCAGCATCAACCAGCATAGCCCCCTCCACAGCCATCACCTCCACCACAACCACCACCACTATCACCACCATTGCCGCCACCACCACTATCACCACCACCTCCACCTCCACCTCTACCTACCACTATCACCACCTCCTCCACCTCCACCTCTACCTCCACCTCCAACCCCAACCTCACCACTATCGCCACCACCTCCACCGCCACCACTATCACCATCGCCATAACTACTGACAACAACTTCTATAGCAACTACAACAACACCAACTCCCAAAATAACCATACTTCCATCTTTGGCACCATTGCTTGTGATTTTTTCAACTCTTTCATTATCACCATAAGCTTTTCGTGGTGGTATAACCTTGGAATGCTTAGTTTCTCTCTTTCTGCGGCCTTCTTTGCAGATGCAGAACAAAACCATAACTACAGGGACCATAGAACCACAGACTATGAGCTCAATAGCCAATGCTTTGGTCTTCCTTAGGACTTCACATCTGGGAAATCCATGGCCTCAACTTATATATATGTGCAGATAGCATAAGCCAATGGATGCATTTGCGATTTTCTAATTGGGATGTTCTTTCGGGGAAGTTTATAGTCAACATTATGGAAGTGCAAGGAAGTTATTCTAGTTGACTTTTGGTACCTAAGTGGCTAAGAAGCACGGACATGGGCACGTGATACGACATTGACACACAGACATGGTAATTTTCAAAAAATGCAAGACACGCCACATGGGGGACACGCACAGAATATATAATTTTATATATTTATTATTAATCATATATATGAACATATCATTCTAAGACAATAAATAAATACAATATAACACTAACTTCTATAAATTGACATTATTTTTTTTTATCATTTTATTCTAAGTTATTTTGTTCAAACTTACAATTAGGTTCGTGTGTGTCTAGTCAATGGACACGCATGTCCTCCAAGTGTCCAAAGAGTGTCCGAGTCTAAATTCTTTTTAAAAAATTAGGACACGTTTGGATGAGTGTTGGATACGTGTCGGGAGAGTGTCCAATGAGTGTCGGTGTCCAACACGGACATGACACAGATACGCCATCTTTTTAGAAGTGTTCGTGCTTCTTGGTTATGTGGATTAATATTAAATTTCTGTGAGCTCAACCCGCCAACAACTTATCAAGACTTCTTGTAGATGAAGACTTGCTCAAAGCAATGATGTTGTTGAGTGGGAAAGATAAGGAAATGCGGCATTTTTTAGTGTGATAGGCCACCTCCACAGTGTTTACACATTTAGGCCTTGTTTGTTTGGGATAGAATTAGGGACATAAGTAATATCACGGGCCGTATATTATATTTAGTATGAAATTGTTTGGTTAGAGCGGGATAAAATATGATGTAAGACTTGAAAGATTATTTTTGACCATTGGATGGGGGATGGAAAATAGTTTAGATGGGGACTAACTTATCCCAGCGGATGGGATTCAATTGTTTCTCATATGGGAGGAATAATAGTCTCATTTGGACTAGCAATCCAGCCAAACATACGCTGGACTAAGGGGAATGAGTAACAAAATTTGACAATATGAACCCCATAAGTTCCTTAGTCTAATCCACTCTAATCTCTTCAAACAAATGCACCCTTAAAAGTGGAATCAGGCTGCATGTTTTTCAATCTGCAAGAAGACCAATTAAAGTCAGGATAGGGTGCCCATCAAAATTTAAAAAATGTCAGGATAGGGTGCCTAATTAAATCCAGCTGCCATTAAATTCTGATGAAATAATTTTGTCAGCCTTCTTATTTGTGTCCTGAAACTAGTGTGGTTGTAAATTTGTAATGCTTAATTTGCTTTGGAGAAAAATATTTTTCATATCTTTTGGTATTTGGTATGATGTAAATCTAAAGTCTAACGGAAAACATTTATTGTGATTAATGGGAGAGGAGCTAATTTAGGTGAAAAATGTTTTCTAATTTTTAAAGGCAGAAAAGTTTCTTCAAACAGTCTTACCAAATTCACCGCTACTGTTTGTCACTATCATCACCTCCGTTGCCGCCACCACACCACCATCACCAACTGCTAGCACCATCATTTTTGGAATGGACCGGTTACTTTACTTGTGTAATTGACTGTATAAAATTAGTAACCAAAGTATGCCCCAATTTATGTAAATAGTGGCTTCAATCCAGGTCAAATCTTATGGACTAAAAGGTATGTTAATTCAGAGGTCAAGTCTCAAATTAATTCAAGGATTTTGAGTTGTGATAATTAAATTAAAATCTAGAATTAAAATTAAATTAAATTGAACCTAACCAAAGCTAAATTGTGTTTCAAAAGCTGAGGACTTAGGGTTTCAAATCCACCCTAACTTCATAAATTTGATTCATGTATCGATTTTAGGATTTAATTGATTAATTTGATCATGACCTGGTTATGACAACAACCTCTAATGGTGTCGTCAAGGGGATTACGTAATCGACAATTGGGTATAACCTATCTTTGTTGAGCACAAGATGTCATTACAAAAAATTACGGTTTTAGGCACCAAAATTTAGGGACAATTTTTTTTTGGTACCAAATATTTTTGTTGCAAAAAGTGTCATTATTATACTTTTAGCAATAAAAATTAGAAATTAGTGGTGAATTATTATCCTCTCAGGACAAAATTTTTTGTCTCAAAAAATAAACCATTTTTAGACCAAATTATTTTGTCCCTAAAAGTCTATTTATTAGTGACATTTTCAAAATTTTGTTGCTAAAAGCCTTGTTTTTAACTTTTCGGGACGACCTTTCAGCGACTATCCTCGTGACGATGGAAATTGGTTCCTAAATATCTTCTGTAATAAAATTTTCAGTTTTAGAGACCAAAACATTTACTCTAAAACCCGTATATGTTGTAGTGCGTCTACAACCAGTTTGAGTGTAACTCATCTAAACTGAGCATATTTTATCTCAATTCTCAATCACATGTACAAATAAAACCATTGTATTCCCAAGCATTCAAAATCACAGAAATCAAATATGAACTCTGCGAGATTGGAAACAATAAACTTCATTGAATATAATAGCCCTCAAGGTCGTGTAACTTTACCTCCAGTGTTTTGATACCTCATTTGCCATCAGCTTCTGCAGTCAGCAATATTCAACAACTGCCTCGACTACAATCTCTGTATTGTCACGCTCAGGTATGTTCTCTGATTGTCTCAGTAGGCATTGGGTTCATGACTTCATGTCTCAGATTTTGTTAATTTCTTGTACAGTAGTATCAATTATAGAATTAAAACTTAATGCTGTTTGTAATTTACTTTTGCTTTTGGTTGTGTTTTGGTGGTCAATTTATCTTGAGTTCCGCTAACAACAATTTAACAATAGATTTATGCTTACCAAAATGCTATTACCCTGTCAAAATAATAGAAATATATGAAACTCCATGCTTAAGGACTGATATTTTTATCTTTCTATCATGGGATTACCTTGCTTATGCTTGTAATATCAGTTCTCAGTCTGATATAAAGAAGCAAGGAAAGGTGTACATATACATATGTACTAGATTTTGTATTTCATCTCATTGAATTGTATCGGTTGATGTTTTTTACTTGTTCTGCCCTAAACTACTAGTTGGTACTCAAAAGGTGGTGGTGGCTTTCTATCACCGAGTGCATGTAATCTCTTCAGTTACATGTTAGACTAGGGAAGAGTACCATTCCTAGTCCGTTGCTAATACACATGTAACATGGAGTATGTTGTTATTAGTGAAGTATGGGGTGGAATTGAGTAAGCTTTGGGAATGTCAATATTGCGTGCATCTTTTTCTCATGATAGATATTTAGATAAACATGTTAATCCATAGCTAAGGTTGCATGATAATTTGGAGCCAACATGTTAAAAATTAATACTAAAATAGAAATCATAGTAAAAAGGGCTAAATTGCCTTGTATATAATACTTCTTAAGTTGAATAGAATGCTACATAGGTACAAAATCCAATAACAAATGATACAACTTTGAATTTGGAATTTATTTGAAACACAATGGTTATGGAATTTGTCCTCAGCATCCCCCACCACACCCTCCTCCTCCTCCACAACCTCCACCACCACCACACCCGCCACCACCACAGCCTCCTCCACCCCCGCTACTACTGACAACCGCTGCTGTAGTAACTACAGCAGCAGTAGCTCCCAAAATGACCATACTGCCATCTCTTGTGGCACTGCTTTTGGTTTTTGCACCTCTTTTAACGTCACCATACACTTTTCGCGGTGGAGGAGGGGTTGTTGCACTCGGTCGGACATTGAAACGCTTAGTTTCTTTCTTTCTGTGGCCTCCCTTGAAAATGCACCCGCACAAAGCCATAGCTAAAACAAAGCAACCTCAGAAACAATCACAGAACCGCAAACTATGAACGTAATAGCCTACCTTTTCGTCTTGCTTAGGAATTCACATCTGGGATATTCATAGCCTCATGTTATATATATGCACAGATAGCGTAAGCTAGCCGTTGCAATTGCAATTTGGTAATTGAATGTTCTTTCAAGGGAAGTTTACAGTTATCAATGTTGGAATTGGGAAGGAAGTTTTTTTGGTTGACTTTTGGTTGCTTCTTGATTAATTTTCAGTTTCCTCAGCCCACCAACACGGTAAGACTAGACGTAGATGAAGACTTGCTCAAAGCTAATTGGATGTAGTTGAGCAGAAAAGATCAGGAAATGAGGCATTTTTTTGAGTGTGATAGGGCCGGGCCTTACATTGTTTTGAGTGTGATAAGTAGCTTATCCATTCAGATAAGATACTTAGAAAATAAAATCATTTGTTTTTTCTTTTCTCAGTTTTTATACCAAACAGACTAATGAAATAAATTTGGCAAGCTTCTCATAATTTTTTTTCTGACGTGTCCTGAAATTAGTATGATTGTAACGTTGTGTTTGTTTCGATGGAAAACGCTTTTGGAGTATTTTGAGAAACGATTAAAATTAATTTTTTTTGTTTTTTTTTAAAAAAAAATATGTAAAAATTGTGAGAGATTGTGTGATTTAAAATGAGTTAAAAATTGGGAAATGGCTTTTAATCCACTTCTCAAAAAAGGTTTGTATTCGTCACCTTAATGTTGAAAGTTTTGAAAGGCAATAAAAAATTTATTAAGCCTAAGATAAATGATTGTTTTGGGAAGTTGATTATTGTTTTGAGTGTGATAAGTAGCTTATCCATTCAGATAAGATACTTAGAAAATAAAATCATTTGTTTTTTCTTTTCTCAGTTTTTATACCAAACAGACTAATGAAATAAATTTGGCAAGCTTCTCATAATTTTTTTTCTGACGTGTCCTGAAATTAGTATGATTGTAACGTTGTGTTTGTTTCGATGGAAAACGCTTTTGGAGTATTTTGAGAAACGATTAAAATTAATTTTTTTTGTTTTTTTTTAAAAAAAAATATGTAAAAATTGTGAGAGATTGTGTGATTTAAAATGAGTTAAAAATTGGGAAATGTCTTTTAATCCACTTCTTAAAAAAGGTTTGTATTCGTCACATTAATGTTGAAAGTTTTGAAACGCAATAAAAAATTTATTAAGCCTAAGATAAATGATTGTTTTGGGAAGTTGATTAAATATTAATTTTTTAGTTTTTTTTTGATATTTTTTTTTAAAAATATGTAAAAAAATAAAAAAATAATATGACTCAAAAATAAGTTAAAAGTTATTTTTTAACTAAAAGTTTTCAAATTGAACCAAAATAATTGCTGTAAGGTTGTTGATAACCCAACTCCAATGGGAATGGGTAGTTTGGGTATTAACTAGGACCCTCGTTTTGAACGAATCTAAGAATTCGGAGGTCAAACATGACAGCCCATTTGAATGGAGAGATTTCTGGGGGCTATGGGTGTTAAAAAATTTTTTGTTTAATTTGATTTTTATTAATTTCGATTTTAAAATTTTTATAATTTTGAATTATATTTGTTTATCATTTTAAATATTTCTATTTGCAAAAGCAAAATTGTAAACGCCAACAAGATTCAAACACCATGTCTATGAAATTGACAAGCTTCAACAAAAATACGACTCAACTCAACTACGGTAATCATTGTTATTTTGTTTTCTATTTTAAAATTAGCAGTTGACCCGTATGTGTTATTTTTTCAAAAAATATATTTGATGGTATGACGTGTATGTTATAAAAAAATAATTTTAATTTTAATTTAAAATTAAAATTAAAGTATGATTTTAGTTATTTATTTTGATAATATCGACGCTATTATTCTATAAAAATGTTACTTGAATACTTATATACATTAATTTTAGTTAAATTATTTGTATATTTTGATCATTCTAGTTGTATCGTATTATAAAATTGTAATTGTTATATAATAATTTTGTGTGATATATTAAATTATAAGATAGTAAAATAATACTTATTTTAATATTAACAACAATAATTAAATTAGAAAAAGAATTAATAATATAAAATTAAAAGTAATTCTATAAATATGTGGTAGTTGGATTATCATATAATGATTTTATATGATATATATATTAAATTATAAGATTGTAAAATAAATACTCTTGTCTTTGATAGAGTCGAGTGCAGAAGAAGGATTTATGTGGTCGATCCCATTTAATGAGACTTAGGGATTGTTTGGGGTGTCCTAAATAAGTGCACTTTTTGATTTTTTAGATTAAAAAGTTGAGGAAAAAAATATGATTATTTGGGATAATTTTTTGACTTTTTATGAAAACAACACTGATCCAGACCCCCAGTTGGGGGTGACCCCGCCACCCCCACATACACGTGGGGGTCAAAGATAGGAAGGAAAAAAAAAAATTTGGACCAATCAGCACCCATTGGGGGTGCTGGAGGTCTCCTCAGTGGGGGTCTCTTCAATTTTCCTTACGAAAAAATGTGTATTAAAAATTATCTAACTTAAGGTATAGGGGAATATTAGAATAAAATAGGCTGTACGGTGGGATGAAGTAATGGATAGTGTGAAAGGTATAGGCTAAGAAATGATTCCTTTTCTTTTCGGGCATTGAATGGACGGTGCTGTTCGGCCCGTGAGGGCCCACCATGGGTTCTGTTTTGCTAATTGGAACCGTTCAATGTGTAGAACTCGTCGAGTACTATATGTTTCTAAAAAATCACATTGATAGGATATTGATAGTTATCTGATCGGATTAATTTTTTTCAACCGTTAACTATAACACTATCCATTTTTTATACAAAACTGATTTGATCATGTAATTAGCGATATCCGATCAACGTGATTTTTTATAAACGTGTAGTACTCGACGAGTTGTACACATTACACGGTTCAGATTATCAAAATGAGACCCGTGATGGGCCCTCACGGGCCGAACAGCACCGTGTTGTTTGTGCACTCCACCTGTGCAATTTTCCCAAAAAGTCAGCTCGTGCCTGTGGGACATCAGTTCAATTTGTAATAATTTTGTATAAAATTAATTTTTTATAGTGAATAGTGATAACTTTTAACTTTTTTAGTAACTTTTTGACTTTTTAAATTTTTTTAAGGATCCCAAACCAGGCCTTAAGGCGTGGTTTGGTTGGTTGGTTTGTAAAATAAGCACTCTTAATTAAATGAAAATATCAATTATATAAAATAAATTCAACAACAACTAATTAAGAAAAAATTTCATAACATCTAAACCCAAAAGAAAAAATAAAGGAGTATTTACATACAAGTCTTAATTTATGAATTTATACTCTATTAAGTCCTAACTAAGATTTTTTAGGCTTTCAAGTTCCATTAAATTTTTAATAATTGGAATTGCCCTTCAAATAATGACTGTTCATCATTTATGATTATCTATAAAGGAACATAATGATTTGACAATTATTTTGATTTTCAAATTTTAAAATATCAACATTCAAATTGAAAAAACTAAAAAAATTATATCGATAAAGGAGCATGATGATGGAAGGACTATGACGATGGAACATTGATTTGCAAAATTATAATAAAAAAATATAAAAAAAAACTTTAAAAATGAAAAAACTAATAATGTTCTCAGTTTTAAAATTAAAAAAAAAAACTATTAATGTTCTCAGTTTTATTAGATAGTTGAATCAAACCAATAAGTAGAAAGGCAAAAATATTTAATCTCATGCTCTGTTTTTTTCATCAGTTAGTGAAACAATTATCTAGAACATTACTATGCAAAATTGATAATATTCTTAGTTTTAAAATTTGAAAAAAAATTGATAATATTCTCAGTTTTACTAAATAAGACTTATTGGTTCAAAAAATATTAAATAAGACCTAAGCTATCATAACATTTGTAAATACGACTTTTAAATAATTAACTCAAAAATAAATGAAAACATTCAAATGATAGACACATATTAATGTGTGAAGTGAATAATCATCTGTAATATGATATTAAAACATAAAAAACTTACTATTCAGCAATTGAAAAAGTAACTCAAGTAGTAAATCCAAATTTCAAAAGTTCTTTAAGACTATCATTGTTGTGCAGGGTTTTTCTTCTATGAGTAGTGATTATATAAAATAATATAAGAAAAATTTTGTACAATCAAAGTATAATCCCTATACAATTTGTAATTAAATTTCATGTAAAACTCAAATTAGGTTTGTGAAAAAAAATATTTGCAAAATAGAGTTCATATAAAATTAGTATTGAGTTTGTGGATTAATTTATAATGAAAAATATATAAAAAAGAAATATTTCTCAAATACAGTATATATAAAATATGTAAAGTTAGCATAATTTAAATTGGATTTGGATTTGTGTAGAACTCTTTATGTAAATGAAAAATGCAGATTGATGTGATTTTTTTAGAAGGAAAAAAAATGTAAGTCGTGCCACTTAAGAAAAAAAAACATTACTTTTACATATATATATATATATATATGATAAGTACATTATCATTATATCATATTATATAAAAAAATTCAACAACAAAATAAATTTTTTTTTCCCTCTAATCGATAAGACATTGTGGGGATATATTTTCGGAGTACCAATACATGGCAAGGTGACGCCGACGTGTCAGCCGAGGTGCCACGTGTCCTGGTCGTGACGATGAGGTGATCTCGGCAAGGCCGAGGTTATCTCCGAAGATATCGGAATCCGAAATAAAAAGATAAAAGATAAGGGACAAGAGTCCTAGAATAAAGAGGAGATTTAGCCAAGATAAGATTAAAGCTCTTAGAGAGTTTATCTTTATCTCTTGAAGAGTCCAAGGTAAGTATTGAACATGAATTCATAGAAGTCAGGCTTTTATTGGGATTTGGATTAAGGTAACTATAAAAGAGAGGCACCCCCGTGGGTCTAAGGTACGCAATTTATGCTTTGAGTAGTAAGTTTAGCACTTGATTATCTTTGAGAGATATACTGACTTGATCGTCGGAGTGCCCCCTGGTGGAAGAATCACCGCCGGAGCCTTCTCTTTCTGTATAGGTTAGCTGAAGCCATCTATTCTGCCGGTGCTCTCTAGCTGATTACTAAACGGGCAGTGTGATCAGAAAATCACTCACACAATTTGGCGTCGTCTATGGGAACTTAGAAGAATAGATGGCCAGTAACGGACAAAAGGAAAAGATTGGGGATGACACTCCTGCTGGGAGTGGCAGACCAATTGACCTTGACGTTGAAGGAAACAACCACAATGCAGAAACTCATGACCAGGGCCACGGAGAGAAAGACGTCGGCCAGGAGTGCGACACTTCGAAGAAGACAGACCAAAGCAAGTACTATAACGAAGATAACCTCCAAGTATGGAGGGATAGGTGCTTACGGAGGGATGAGGAAGTAAAAGAATTGGCAAACAAGTTGGCAGACTTGCAGTCGGTCGTCAACTTCATGATGCAAAACAATGTCATGTAGCCACCATACCCGTTGCACGACACGCCGATTCCAGCAACTAATACCCAGAAGGGAGGAAGGAAAACAATTTCCGAAGCCCCTCAGCATACCAGAAGCGAAAGGCACTCTCACCGACTTTCCAGGGAAGTCAGACGAGAGGAGCCGAGACGAGAGGAGTCCCGAAGGACGTATCACACGAAGG